ACTTGGTAGGGTCCTGCGAACTTATGGGACATGGAAGTCCCCATTCTCAACAAAATGCGTCACAATGACTTTCAATATTTGGGCTTTAACCATTCTATTGCTGGCGGTCAAATCCAAATGATTTGCCATTTGTATTAACTCAGTCTTTTTAAGGTTCTGAATCCCTTCAAAGTCTGGGTGAGCCACCAACGCTGCAACTTTCTCCTCCATCGTTACTAACACTTGGCACTTGATTCACAAAAATAATTAACACAATGGCACTGCACTACACTTCACTGTAAAATTGTCACCACACTGAAAATTCGCTTGGCCTCACTGCACAAACAAAATATATAGGATGACTTACCTCAAAATCGTGAAACGTTGTTACTTGACACACAGGAAGGCTTGCTTGGCACATGGAATAGTTCTTAAGAAACACACAGAGACACTTGACACACTGGTACCTAGGAAGGCAAGGTTAGATTAGCATAGTTAAGTTAAAAATGGGACAATATTTCCCGGCACAGGCCCCCATAACTCTTTGTTACCTATCGTACGTTACGGCTCGTGATCCTACAGCAGCCAACTTTAATAAGTCTAGGGATACGACACAACTGCTGTTCTCAATAGCGAATCACCAGTATAACCCCTTAATAGCTAATGAGCACAAAAATAGAATCTTCATAGGACTGAAGAATAAAGACTAAGTATATATATATAATTTTATATTCAATAAATCTCAAAAGCAAACAGATGATTATATGGTCACAATATATCACATTAAAAATATCACTGTAACTTCCAGACATTAATCAATACTAAGAATAATTATGGCTATGACAGAACAAATGAACTTAACTTCAACAAGTGTTATCTCCCTGGTTTCTGCTCAGCTACTGAACAAAATCACGCGAGAATCAAAAGAGATTGCCTCGCCCCGCGAATAAATTGCCAAAGTTACAATATTTATTATTTCAACAATGGAGCACTACATTGTGACAAGAGTAATCTTAAACTAACTTAATGAATAATTAGTACATATTGATATAGACAAACAAAAGTAATTATTCTTTACATAGTAATTAAAATATGCATACAGAAGGAAATAATGGCATGCACACCCCAGCAACGGACGATCCCACGACAATTTGCCAGAGTCAGTTCACTCAATTATTATTTCACTCTGTTACCCACTTATGATCACATATAAATCATTAGTTCCCGTGGGAAAACTGATCACACAAAGAAATAAACAATCATTCCCACGATACGCTGGGCCTAACGCCAACACTGTAACATGAATGTGCATTTGCATAGAACATATAAGTATAACAATATACATGCTTGTAATTTACATACAATTATAAATGTACATATTAATATATTCACTTACGTATCTTATAAGGGTACGTAACATGAGGCACGGGTGAGGGTGGAGGAGTGAGGTAGTGTGAGGCACAGGTGAGGGTGGAGGAGTGAGGTAGTGTGAGGCACAGGTGAGGGTGGAGGAGTGAGGTAGTGTGAGGCACGGGTGAGGGTGGAGGAGTGAGGTAGTGTGAGGCACAGGTGAGGGTGGAGGAGTGAGGTAGTGTGAGGCACAGGTGAGGGTGGAGGAGTGAGGTAGTGTGAGGCACGGGTGAGGGTGGAGGAGTGAGGTAGTGTGAGGCACGGGTGAGGGTGGAGGAGTGAGGTAGTGTGAGGCACGGGTGAGGGTGGAGGAGTGAGGTAGTGTGAGGCACAGGTGAGGGTGGAGGAGTGAGGTAGTGTGAGGCACAGGTGAGGGTGGAGGAGTGAGGTAGTGTGAGGCACGGGTGAGGGTGGAGGAGTGAGGTAGTGTGAGGCACGGGTGAGGGTGGAGGAGTGAGGTAGTGTGAGGCACAGGTGAGGGTGGAGGAGTGAGGTAGTGTGAGGCACGGGTGAGGGTGGAGGAGTGAGGTAGTGTGAGGCACAGGTGAGGGTGGAGGAGTGAGGTAGTGTGAGGCACGGGTGAGGGTGGAGGAGTGAGGTAGTGTGAGGCACAGGTGAGGGTGGAGGAGTGAGGTAGTGTGAGGCACAGGTGAGGGTGGAGGAGTGAGGTAGAGTGAGTCACAAGAGACGCCATAAACACTCATTGTGGGTCCACAACATATCATGACTAACAGGTTGACTCTTGTACTGAAAAATAGTTTTATATTGATCTTTACTAGAGAAGAAATGGTCAATATCCCCGTATGGTCGAAGAGAAGGTGAGGGTGGAGTTAATTAATTAATTAATTACTAATAAAGAACGTAGTACATTTAGATACAAATGTGAAGTGCCCAGTTGAGTTTGCTTAAACCTTTGTCAAGCATATTCAGTAAATCATTAGAGGTTCAAAGGTATGCCACTAGGCTTGGCCTGGAACTTTTTTTTTTTTTTTTTTTTGCCTGGAACTAAGAGGTATGAGTTACGAGGAAAGATTGCGCAACTTGCACCTCACGTTGCTGGAAGACAAAACAGTTCGTGGAGACATGATAACTACATACAAAATTCTCAGGGGAATTGACAGGGTAAATAAGGATGGATTATTTAGGATGAGTGGCACACGCACAAGGGGACACAGGAAGAAACCGAGTACCTAAATGAGCCACAGAGACATTAGAAATAACTTTTTCAGTGTCAGAGTAGTTGGAATGGAATGCAGGTGGAATGCATTAGGCAGTGATGTGGTGGAGGCTGACTCCATACACAGTTTAAAATGTAGTGATTGAGTCCAATAGGCTCAGGAATCTGTACACTAGTTATACACCAGTTGAATGGCGGGACCATAGAGCCGGAGCCCAGCCCCCTCAAGTACAACTAGGTGAGTACACACACACACACACACACACACACAGGGGTCTGGTAGCTGAGTGGACAGCGCGCGGGGCTCGTAATCCTGTGGCCCGGGTTCGATTCCCGGCGCCGGCAAAGACAAATCGGCAGAGTTTCTTTCACCGTTAGCTACTGTTACATAGCAGCAAATAGGTACCTAGGAGTTAGATATCTCTTACGGGTTGCTTCCTGGTGTGTGTGTGTGGGGGGGGGAGCATATAGTTAGTAGTTAGTAACAGTTGATTGATTGACAGTTGAGAGGCGGGCCGAAAGAGCAGAGCTCAACCTCCGCAAGCACAACTAGATGAATACACACACGCGCATGCACACACACACGCACACACACATATACACACACGCACGCGCACACACACACACACACACACACACACACACACACACACACACACACACACACACACACACACACACACACACACACACACACATTCTGTTGGTGCAGCTTAAACATTTTTTGCGAGTACTCTTCCTAGCCTCACTTTCGCCAGTCCAGTCCCGGTGTTGACTGTGTGCCGTGGTGGTGGTGGGCGGTGACCCCTCGATATACCCACTCTCCCACCGTGGGTACCCACTCTGTACCCACTGCTACCGTGCCTCTCTGCAACTCACAACACCTCTGCCGTGACAGACGACCCCGTAGTGGTGGGGGAATAATGCACATCATGTATGTACACAAACGCGTCCAAACCCCCACCACCACACTTGCTCCTGGCCGCCAGGTGGCATCAGCCATGCACGAGGCTATGAGATCGTGTCTTTCCTGCTCGCTCTCAAGAATTCCTCGCCGGGCGGAATAAAGAATAGATTTCTGGAATATATTTGTTCCACAGCCTAACTCGACTGCCGTTAGTTATAAATATTAATTACAGGTCACTGCAGATAACCGCTTGTGGGTACGGACGCCGCCATGGACATTCTTGTGAGACGTGACTCCACGGGGCACTGTAGACCTCTCCCACTCTCCCCCCTCTCAGATGTTTCAAACACCTGCTTAAACACCTCCCTTGGCATTTAAATATCGATGCATTCTAAAACACCAATACTACTTTATTAGCGTTTAAAAATGTCATGCTCATCAGGTTGTTAAAAATACCTGAACCAGACCATGTTGTCACAAATGTTGATTAATTACACATGCAGAAAAATATAGTTTAGTAGAGGTTTCGACCAATACATAGAAGTATACGGTACTTATTTTTGAAAATCTATTATTATTATTATTATTATTATTATTATTATTATTATTATTATTGATAATAGAGGTCCGAACATTATTATTATTATTATTGATACTAATAATAAATATTATAAATATTATTATAAATTATTATTGATAATATTAATATTGATAATATTAATATTGATAATATTATTATTGATAATATTAATATTGATAATATTATTGTTGATAATCTTAATATTGCATATATTATTATTGATAATATTAATACTGATAATACTACTAATGATAATACTAATACTGATAATATTATCACTGTTATTACTAATGGATGGATTTGCTCTGTTGAAGTGGAGTTGGCCTTGCTTGGCAAGGTTAAATTGATGACTGCTTGGGTGTTCATTCTCGGTTTGTAGTGGGTGGGCTGTGTCAGGGAGGACAGGGGTATGGCAGGGTGGATATGGTGTGTGGGTGGGCTACATCAAGGCAGATAGGGAAGGAGGGAGGACAGGTATAAGGTGTGGGTGGACTACATCAAGGCGTGCCAAGGTTATGGAATCGCCTCAGTTTTCCGGAGCTGTTTCTGCTTTGTTTATTTTGTCATTTAAGTCAATTTTGTTTCAGGTTCTATTAATCTTGAGTCCCAATATTGAACCTACATCGCATGTTGGATTGGCTGGTTGTCAAGAAAAATGGGATCTGAATTTCTGTTTGCACTGTGGTTAAAGGGTGGGCGGGGAGGGGGGGTTTAGGTGGGCTTGGAAGCCTAGGAGGTGAGGATGGACATGGATGTGATGAGGGTGGGCGGGAAGGAGATTTGGGTGGGCATGAATGTGATGAGTGTGGGCGGGGCCTGGGTGGTCAGGGGTGTGATGAGGGTGGGTGGGTCCTGGGGGGTCAGGGGTGGGCATGAGTGTGATGAGGGTGGGCGGGACGTGGGGGGTTAGGGAGAGCAGGAGCGAGGGTGACCTCAGCCTGGCCGAGCAGCTCTCCTGCACTTCACCGCCAGACACCGTCGCGTCAAGCCACGAACGAGCTGGTCGGGTCCTGTAGTATCACTAGTCTAGTCCACACCGACCAACACACACCATGAGGGAAATTCTCCACCTGCAGACCGGCCAGTGCGGCAACCAGATTGGCTCAAAAGTAAGTACAAATTATCACATTGATATCTACAGCGTTTATTTTTGGACGGAAGTGCTGCGTGCACCCCCATACAAGCACCATCATCACCAAAGTTAACTCATGCTAGGGGCAACTACCGACCTTTCTCAGAATACAGTCCGCAACAGTTACCTAACTCTCGGGTACCTGTGTACGGCTGGGTGAACAGAGGAATCAGGTGTACGGAAACGTGCTCAGAAGTCTCGTCTTGCTTGGGAATCGATCCCGGGGCCATTCACTTGTGAGCGGACCGATCTACAGGTCACAATAAATAATATGAATGAACTCGCGATATTATATATATATATATATATATATATATATATATATATATATATATATATATATATATATATATATATATATATATATATATATATATAATAAGTTTTGGGTGAGGTGATTGACATTTACATAGACAGAACACGAATCAATGGGTATAAAAACATAAGAATGAAAGTAACTGCAGAAGGCCTATTGGCCCATAGCATCACCACTTCCTCTTGATGCTTCTATATTGGTTCGGAGTCTTGAAGTTGGGTAGAATATAGTTGTGCATTAATTGGCTGGTGTTGACTTTTTGATGTGCAGTGCCTCGCAGATGTCGAGCCTCCTGCTATCGCTGTATCTATCGATGATTTCTGTGTTGTTTGTTAAGATTTCTCTGGTGATGGTCTGGTTGTGAGAAGAGATTACATGTTCCTTGATGGAGCCCTGTTGTTTATGCATTGTTAATCGCCTGGAAAGAGACGTTGTTGTCTTGCCTATATACTGAGTTCTTTGGGGCTTACAGTCCCCAAGTGGGCATTTGAAGGCATAGACGACGTTGGTTTCCTTTAAGGCATTATGCTTGGTGTCTGGAGAGTTCTTCATGAGTAGGTTGGCCGTTTTCTTGGTTTTATAATAAATCGTCAATTGTATTTTCTGATTTTTGTCTGTAGAGATAACGTTCCTATCAACAATATATTTCAGGACACTTTCCTCCGTTTTATGAGCCATCGAAAAGAAGTTCCTGTAAAATAGTCTAATAGGGGGTACATGTGTTGTGTTAGTTGACTCTTCAGAGGTTGCATGGCGATTTGACGAAATATCTGTGCCCAATAAGGACACAGAGAGCTGTCGGGAATTAGGTTAAGGGTCAAACGACTCCGATCCTTTTTGTACAGTCAGTGTGACCTAGTGGTAATAGTACTGGTCACACCAAGGGGCATGGAGCCCTGGCTGTCCCGGTTCGAATCATTCAGGTGTAAAGAGTTTTCTTATGCATGTTAGCTTGGGGACCATTCAAGCTTGATGCATATATATATATGTATATATGTACACACGTATTTCTCAAGAATGAATAGCACCTTAGTACATATTCCTGCTGGATCCTCTTTCAAAATATAGCGCACATAACTGTAGGTCAAGAATCCATACATGCTCAGCGGTGTCCGACATTTTACATGAAGCCTGGTCCACATGCACGAGCACAGCCTCGTCATACGTATTACAAAAATTACAAGGCTACGCTTGCCCGGTCTCGCATCTTCTTCCCGCCGCTGCATTTACCCGGCGTGGTAAAGACGGAATTCTGTATTGTGCCCCGATGTTCCCAGCCTTAGCGTCACCTGCCAGGGTAGCGAACCACGGCAGCCACTCCAGCGTTCAAGGTAATTTGACTAAACCGCGTATTACCACAGTGGTTTAGCTGAGCGTGGGGAAATTGTTATTCAAATTACCATCATAGACACCTGGGTAATCAGTATTCTATTCAACTACATTTTGGATAATGCAGAGTATAATTAATTACGAGTTTGCCTTAATGGCATTCCTGAGAAGCCTCATGGTAACATAGGCGCGGCGCGTCACTGCTGCGACAACCCTCGGGGCTGTTCAAAATTATATAATTTATATAAACAGTGTAAGGAGAGGTGCCAGGACGTACGACTGAGAAATAGCCAACAACGTGGGACTGTGGTAGCGCGCTCAGCCAACGGCAGGCTAGTGATATCAACTCAGGTTCGAGCCCTGGACAGGGAGCGGATGCTTGAGCACCAATCCTAAACTGTCCGTTCACTCAGCAGTCATTGCCGCTGTTGTTGTTATAGATTCAGCTACTCCGAACAAGTTCCAAGTAGCACGGGCTATGGTGAGCCCGTAACTTACCTGGCACAGGAGCGGGGCAAGTAGCAAGGGCTATGGTGAGCCCGTAGTGGACTTACCTGGCACAGGAGCGGTGCTGTAGTCATTGCCGGAAGCCATCTTTTCTTATACCATACAGCCTACACAAACAGACATGGAGGGAAGGCGGAGGAATACAAATTAATCAGAAAATCAGTCAAGAGTTACGTATGGTACTGAAGACATTAGGATCTCTTTTAATGTAAGTGCCCGGCACAGGTAGCGCACAAGCTCCAAGTCAGTCACGCTCTTCGGAGCAAATACGGAATTGGTGGCAAGGTCATCTGTGAGAGGAGGCGAGGGCGTGACGCGGGAAGCTCCCACCACCCCGGAACAACCACCGGAAGACTTACAAAGAGCGTAAGTGACGAACTAACCGCCAGGCGGGAAAATCTGGGTAAATGTGGGTTTTTATTACCAAATCTCTCTACCGCGTCTCGCACCAACAACACGACAATGTTCAAAACTTTACGTTCTTAGCGGAGCAAATGAGCGCGCGAGGCTACTAGGGGCCTGCGAAAGGCAGAGTAAGAGATAACATAATTCATGTAAATAAATGTATGAAAGGCTCTACAAGGTTTTAAATACATCAACATAAAGTAGAGCACGAAGCAATGGATGTAAATTTAATAAGTTTCTATTCAGGAAAGACCTGGTAAATATTGGATTGAAAACGATTGCTGACTATGGAACAAATTACCGGAGAACATAATAGATGTAGGATCACTTGATTGTGTCATCCATAGGTTAGACATATATATGAATGAGTTTGGGTTGAATAAGTAGGAACTTATATCAACCCAATTCCTATTGGTCCTCATATAGACCAATAGGAACTGCCTCGTATGGACCAATAGGGTTTTATGGTATCCTTTATTCTTGTATTTTTATGAATGTTTATCACTATGGCTACCTTCTCTGGTGAACCCGTGCAAAGACAGGAGATAAACCTCTGATTATTGTTTCCAGAAGTCCCTTCAGAATGATTTTTAGTAAGTAACATCAATTTCCTGCGGGGGTGTGATGTTGTGCAGGCAGGCAGCCGGGCCAGTGACAATGTAATAATTTCCCCTATATTTTAATGTAAATTTATTCTCCAATTTTTGTAAATCGTTTATAGGTAAATAAGTATAACATTCCGGGTTTTCTAAAGATCTTGTTCTGTACTACTGAAACACTTGTTCACTAAGAATTGTAATGTATAATTGCCTTGTAAAACTTATGTATATGTAATTTATATTGTATTTTTTTTTAAATAAAGATAAAAAAAAGTGACAAGGGTGGTGGCGCCGCTGGTGTGGTGGGGCTGCGGGACTGCAGTGTGTGCATTAATGCCCGTGCATGGTAACGTCAGGGGGCGTGACGGCCGTGTGACTATAAGCAGGCAAAACTTTATGGCTGATAAATGTGTGTTATTCGTGGAGGCGGCCTTAATCGTGTGCATGGTAAACGCTGTCCGGTGGTGCGCCAGACTATAGGTGCAGGCGCGTCGTGTGTGATGCTCACACTTGACTCACTGCCAGCTCGCACGCACACACGCACGCACACAATTAAAAAAAATCAAATTCTCAAAGGAATTGACAGGTTGGACAAACTATTTAGCATGGGTGGAACAGGAACAAGGGGACACAGGTGGAAACTTAGTACCCGAATGAGCCACAGAGACATTATAAAGATTTTTTTCTGTGTCAGAGTAGTTAAATGGAATGCATTAAGCAGCGATGTGGTGGAGGCAAACTCCATATACATTTACAAATGTAGATTTGCTACAGCCCAATAGGCTTGGGAATCTGTATACCAGTTGATTGACAGTCGAGAGGTGGGACCAAAGAGCCAAAGCTTAACCCCCGCAGCACGACTAGGTGAATACAACTAGGTGAGTACACACACACACACGGCTACCAGGGGACTTGGTAGCCTAGTGGATAGCGCGCAGGACTCGTAATTCTGTGGCGCGGGTTCGATTCCCGCACCAGGCAGAAACAAATGGGCAAAGTTTCTTTCACCCTGAATGCCCCCTGAAAAATTGCGTTTTAACGCCGTGTGTCTGTTGGACACAGACAGGCTAATGTCTCTGAGGGATATTTATATATGCTCTACAACAAAATAATTTACAAACTCATAAATAATTTTCAATTTCTTGTTTATATCTGCGAGATTCCAAAAACAAAACAAGCACTTTAAGTCGCAAAGCGCAGCCGCACAGGACAAACACCGCTTATCATGCAAACGTTTTCCTCTGTTTATAATTGGCAATGAAACGGTATATTAAGTTGCATTCTCATTTCAGCAACAATTTTCTTTGTCATGTGGATATAAATAAGCAAATGTTTGCAGACGCTGCTCGACTCGACTAATGATGTCTGCTGATATTTGTATATTAAGGCAGCGCTGTGTGATATGCAGCTGGAGTGCAGTGCTGGTCGGTCAAAAGCCGGCCACACCTGCAGCAGTGTTGGTCGGTTAGCCTGGTGTAGCAGTCAAGATAAACATCAGACACAGACTCAGGTCTAGTGTAGTGATAAATACATCTGTCTTGGCCGCTACAGGTGGGGTGTAAGAGTCAAGAGAGACGCAGGTGGGGTGTAAGAGTCAAGAGGGACGCAGGTGGGGTGTAAGAGTCAAGAGAGACGCAAGTGGGGTGTAAGACTCAAGAGAGACGCAGGTGGGGTGTAAGAGTCAAGAGAGACGCAGGTGGGGTGTAAGAGTCAAGAGAGACGCCGGTGGGGTGTAGCGAGCGCCGGGACGCAAGGTATCAGACAGGAGGGACGGCATGGCAACACAGTGTTGAGCCGGAGAGTGTACACTCTAGCGGGTTG